TTCTCCCTCTGTCAGCCTCTGTCCCTCCTTCCTCCCCCCGTGCCAGCCCAGACCCCTTCTCCCTCCCCTGCCACGCCAGCCTAGGCCCAACTGTCTCCTTCCTCTCCCTTGCCCCGACAGCCCGGATCTCTTCTCCCCCCATCCCAGCAAGCCAGGGTCCCTTCTCCCCACCCCTCCAGCCCAGGCCCTTTCTCTCCCCGCTCAACCCTAACCCCTCCCGCTCCCAGGTGTAGCATGCGCCAGGCCGGGCTCTAACCACAGCAGCTGGGGAGATACGGGGTGCTTGCCCACCCCGTGTGGGGCGCAGCAAAGTGCAGGTAGTGCCATGTGCATGTGGCGCTCCAGGGCTCTGAAGCCTGCTGAAGTGGAGAAAGCAGCAGCATGAGGGGCCACTGTCCTGACCTCTCCCCCATGCACTCCCACCTGCGCTGCTCACTGCCCCAGCCCTGCCCATAGCCCAGCCCTGCCCATCGACCCGGAGCGGAAGGGAAGAAGCAGACAGGTTGGTGCAATGGCTCCCCACGGTGACTCGGAGGTGCTCTGGCAGCTGTAGTAAGTGCAGATGCTGGGGAGAGGGTGAATTTCTGTAGGGGAAGCCAGACTTCAGTTGGTCGGGCACCGCACTCTGGCTCCCCAAGAGCTTGGTGGCAGGGGAGCCCCTAAGAACCTGCTGCTGGCACATAAGCCCAGCTGAGACCCCTGATCCTAGCATCTGTCCCCAGGCTGCTGTCCTGAGCACCATGCCCTTCCCCCCTCCACCCCAGAACTGTCATGGCTGCGATGTGGGGTCTTCCAGCTACTGTGCCCATGTTTCTTGGTGTTGAAAGCCCTATGTGGTGAGGGTGGAGGAAGGGGAGTAGGGGCTTTGTTTAAAATAACAATTCCAACTGGCGAGGGGAAGCAGCAAGGTCTTCCTCGAGCTGGGAGAGGGAGGAGGCAGGCAGGATGTAGAGTGACGTGATGACATCACTCTGTTGTCCCTCAGGAAAATATTTTTTTTAATATATAGAGAGATTTTAGCTCATGGAAGAGGTAGTTTTCGAGAACAGGAAAAGTAACATTTAATAAATTGCCATAATTGAAAACTAGAAGGCAGTTCTCTGCCTTTGAGGATTATTGAGGGGGAAAAAACCATGACAAGGGGGATATTTGTTCCAGGTTCAGACCAACATAGGCTGACATCCTAAAGAGAAAGGAAATATAATAAAGTTTACTCATTGCTCTAGATGACCCATTCAAACATTCTCTTGGTTTAGCAGAATTGTGCACAGGCCCATTTTCCAGACATAATAGCCAAGGAAAAAGTTTGACTTGCCAAAGTTACATGAGAAACTTGTGGGGAGCAAGGAATACATTACTGTCATCTAACAATGCTAAATGGCTTCTGAAAAGTGATCTCCTATGGATAGCTTGAGGACTATGCAAGAAAGATGAGGAGCACCACCCCCGCCAGTTCTGCCTGCCTTTGACCTAAACCAGGGTTTCCAAATCTATGGGTCGGGACCCAAATATGGGTCGCTATTGCATTTCAAAAGAATCGCCAAGTGTCTCCCCAGGTGGCTCTGCCCTTTCCCCTCTCCCCGTTTTTGAATTGCCTTGGGTCACCAAGTCTTCCTGAATTATCAAAATGTGTCCCCATCTGGAAAAGGTTGGGAGCTGCTGCCCTAAATGCCAGTGAGGGCCAACAAAAAGTCAGTCTAACATGATCATTGTCCAAGCAAGTTGAATGATGATGTCCTCACTGGCCTGACTTTGGCACAGGGGTAAAAGCTCCTCAGTCTGTGTATAAGGAAATCGAAAACCCTGACGTGCATTTTCTCACGGGTTTCCAGCTTAGCAAATTTCTGTGGTAACGAAGGGTCATGTTTTCAAAGATGTTCAGACTAGGGATGTAAGCAACTAGTTGACGAGTCAACTACCCAATAAGCAAATGCTTATCGGGTAGTCGAGTAGGAACACAATTAGTCGCTCCTCCCCTTGCTGCATCTATCAGAGAGAGGCAGCAAGGGGGCCAGCATGAACCCGTGCTGGGGGGAGCCAGCATAACAGATAGTGCCCCCCCCCTCTCCACATGAGGCAGGGGGCAGTGAGGAAATGGCGTGAGTGGGGATTGAAACAGTCCCTCTCCTGCTTGTCCTACTACTGCTCCTCTCCCTTTGGAATGTACAAGAGCTTCCTGCGGCTCTTGTACATTTCAAAGGAAGAGGTACAGTGGGGAACCCATGCCAGCGGGAACTGCTTTGCTCCCTGCTGGCATGGGTTCCCTCTGCCTCTCTCCCTTAGAAATATACAAGAGCCGTGGGTGCAGAGGGAACCACTGCGTCTCTCCCTTTGAAATATACAGGAGCCGTGAGTGGCTCTTGTACATTTGAAAGGGAGAGGCGCAGTGGGATAGTGAGCACCCCCCTTATCAACTAATTGAGAAGTTGATTGTAGTTCCATAGACTACACGATTAGCTGATTAATCGAAATTTAACATTCCTAGTTCAGACACCTAGAAATACAGATTTGTGCCCACTGGAATTGAATAAGCTGTATTAAAATGAATAAGCACTTTTGAAAATCCCACTTGGCACTTGTCTTAAATCTTCAGCAGCCTAAATATCCTCAAAAATCAGATCCTGCTGCTCAGTTACCATAGTAAACAGAAGTTGTGTATGGATAGATTTCTTCAGTACCTTGGCTTACTGCAAATATGCTAAATGCCCACTCTTAGTAGCAGTACATAGAATGTTAAGGGCTGTTTTCTCCCCTGTAACAGAGAGGAACCTAAACCCCAAAGCAGCCTGCCTTAAGAGAAGGGAAGAAGAAAAAGTTTCTGCCGTATCGGCAGAGCCACCAACACCACACCCAGGAAGCCACCCTGGGCTTAGTGAAACTACCAACCCTATGGGTCATATGTGAACACCAGCCAGGTACGTCTCTTTTTCATGTTCATCAATGTGGGGAGAGGGTCCCATCAATGCGCTGAGATGACTGTAACTTATTTTATTGATGGAAGTTTGAAAGTCAACAAAAACACAGTTAGTGAGATTATTCTGTGTAATTAGTGCTACCATTGGACATGAGCCCCTGCATTAAAGAGCACTAAGCACTTCCATACCTCTGAGCCACAAGTAAGAATATTCAGTTATGGGATGGTTATAAATGAAAAGACCGGGAATTTTAAGTAGCTTCTTTTTATTTGCAGCATTGTTGTCTATGGGTATAGTCTCCTAGGTCAGGTGGCCTTCATGATGTGGCCTCATAGGAACTGCTCATGACTAGGCTATAAATAAGCCAAAATAATAGACATTAATTGTGCATTCTCAACAGGAGGTATAAATATCTCACTTGTTTAATTATCAACACTTTTTTCCCAGTGCTGATTCACAAAGCAACGCAAATAGTCAGAAGAGACTTTTCATTTCAAATAGAAGAGGTTTGGCAGCTGGCTTGAGGCTAATCATTTAAATCAAACCACTAGTCTGACATGTAATACTTGACTGTCTGTCTTTGCAGTCCGCATTATACATCTTCAGGATTTTGTGTGGCTAAAATTTCAGTTTTTTTGTGACTCCATACATGAAAAAACAATGTTTGTATTGTCTCATGTAGTCAGGTGGTTACTATATCATTCATTTGAAAGTTCCAGTTGACAATTCTGTACTGGGTTATCAGTGTGTTTTTCAAAAAAGTGGTAAAAAAATGAAAACTGCTTTTGACCCTGCAAATTCCTATTAAAATTTCTTAAAGAAGTATTTTCCTGGCCAATTGGGCTCATCAAAGTAAAGATGCCCAAGGTCAGGCTCCAGTGCTTTATTTTCACTTGTATGTTACAAAGACAAGAGATTACAATTTTGACATACAGGCAGTCCCGGGGTTACGTACAAGATAGGGACTGTAGGTTTGTTCTTAAGTTGAATCTGTATGTAAGTCGGAACTGGCGTCCAGATTCAGCCACTGCTGAAACTGATCAGTTTCAACAGCGGCTGAATCTGGATTTACATACAGATTCAACTTAAGAACCCCAGGTATCCCCAAGTCAGCTGCTGCTGAAACTGATCAGAGGCTGATTCCAGGAAGCCCGGGGCAGGGGGGTCCCGTAGGCAGCCCC